AAACGTTTCAGAGGTCATACTGATGACGGAGGCAGTATGACCTCTGAAACGTTGGTTAACATCGACCAGACTACACAGCACAACAACCCAGAGGACGGAAATCTTCATACTCACCGCTGTGAAAACCTCAAATCTTACAGTGTTAATGTTGCTTACAAATATGGAAAACAGGCTAAATATCAAAACCCAAGAAGGGAAAAAGAATTGATAGACCCAATACGCAGATACAGATGCAGACATAGATGGACACACAGAGACATGGTAGTCATCCACATTTTATTAAAACAAACATATAAATATGCAAAAATATAAATCCATATCAAACAGCAAGGCTTTCTAAGCTGGAGATCGGATATCACCGCCAATAACGCCACACACAACAGGAGATATTTATGACAAACTGTGTAGTAACATAAAACAAATACAAACAAAAGGAAACTGACTTCAAGAAGTGTGAAGTGCCATTATTTTACTAATTCTATTTTTACAGAACATTGATTTTATCTACATAACTGGAGATTTTGTGGACCACGCAGTATGGGATTCAAGTGTTCAAACAAATATTGGTGTAATAACAAATATTACAAATCAACTGAAAAATCACTTACCAAACACAATTGTGTATCCAGTTCTTGGAAATCATGAACCAAGTCCATTAAATGTGTAAGTGCTTCTTCCAATACTTTATCAAGGTTGTAAAATATTTTAAGTTAGTATTTTAGATGTTGATTTATATTTAATTTTCACCTCTTCATGGCATATTTATAAATGTACTTATTTCATAAAACCAAAACACAACATAGATAAAAGTTACTTTGTCTTCAATTAATGTGGATGTCCTAATGCCCTAACAAATAAAGAACCAAGTAGCAACGCAAAGCTTCGTCACTAACAAAAAAGGCCTAAATTTTGCTGTAACTGAATCCTACAAATACAATTAAGGCCCGTTCCTCTATGTTCAGTTGAACCCTTGCAATACCACGCTTAAATCTCACCCATAAATATTCTAAACCGAATTAAATTTACAGTAGCCAATTTAATTAATATACCCAAGCAGTGATTGCAGGTTCAGTACCTCAACGCTGAAGATGTTCTTATTCAGAACCTAACTCTTCACAACTCCATTACATTGAGTGATTTGAAACCTCACAGAAACTATACTTTTACTGTGGTGGTGCGCTCGGGTACTGAATCGCAGGTCCTTCGACGGTCACTGCCCGTTTCTGCCATATTTACGACAATGGAATCTGTTCCCGGCAAGGTAAGGAGATCTCATCACTGATCAGTAATAAATGTGAGACTTAAAACAAATTCAGAGTTTCTGCACAGTTTATTTGTAATGTTCGATTCCCGGCGGTGCCCGAATTTGTAACTTGTGTTGGGCCAGGCCGTGGTCTAGGCAACACGGAGTTTTCGTCCGTGGCATCCCAACAATTACTCCATTCACACACAGAAGAAGGCAATGGCAAACCACTTCTGGATCATCTGCCAAGAACGTATATGAACAGGTCCCAGTCTGAGAAAAGGATGGAAGGATCCTGTTCATATGGACCTGTCGTCAGACAGAACACTACAAATAAAAAAAAAACCCAAGCACAATTTAGAATACCACTAAATGTCACAAAACGAATTTTTGACAAAACAGCTCACACACTCTATCTGAGTACACTGGGCACATAGAGGTTATGCGTATTCATTTCATGTTTCCACGCATCTACCACGTAGTACAAACCACTTAAAAATAATTTTCCCATGCACGTCTTGGTTGTCTAATCAGACACTTTCCAAGCACCAAGAAGTTTTCTATCAATGGCCTGTGCACATTTCTTGTTTCCCCTCATCTAAGCTTCCTATCCAGTTTTTCTTAATTTAATTACAAGTATTACACTGACACTGTAGAAACTAAATAAATTACAAAGGGTTAGCCATCAGTACATACTGACATATAATAGTGTAAATTTTATTTCCAAAACAATGCACACCAAAGGGCAGAATTTGCTTTCTTTTTTATTCCTTTTATTGCAAACAAGAAAATAAACTGACATGTTATGTTAAAACAATTGGTTTCTATTTTGTAAAAATAAACACCTACAATAATGAAAATGACATCAAACAGTGGTAAATTAAAAAAGAAAACTTATTTTCATGTTCAGTTGGACAACATGTTTGTCGAGAATGGCTTTGCTTCTACACGGTGCAACCACATTAACTGTTTCCATTATTTAATTACAGGTTTGCACCACATTACATTACCGATGAGAAAGTTTCCACAAAATGGTTATATGAATTGATAGCAGACCTGTGGTCTGTTTGGTTGCCACCAGACGCCAGAGAAACTATTCTACGAGGAGGATTCTACACTGCAGTGGCAAAACCTGGTTTCCGAATTATAGGTCTTAACAACAACGTCTGTACAACTGAAAACTGGTAAATTGAAAACAAAATTTAATCAAGTGCTTGCCATATATGACTAAAATAAAACTGGATAGTTCCAATTATTATTATATTAAATTAATTCTTGAACTCCATCACTTACAAGCTTAAATGTTGCTTGAAAATTAATATATATACTACCCTTTCAAGTCCAAATATATTCTATGTTTTATTTGCAAGGCATACAGAAAGGTGGGTGGTTCTGAATGACTATTTAGGAAAGCAGAACTGCGAAACACTACGATTCAATCAACATCCTTCTCAATTTTAGTCAGACACATTACCGCTGAAGTAGTGCGCTCTATTTCAGCAATCAGTTATTACAAAATGATACGCAGCCACACACATAACCCATAGATATATGCAAAAAAAACTTTTACGATGTTCATATTGATATATATTTTATGAATTTTGACAGGTGGATGAATCACAACCCAAAAGACCAAGATGGGCAGCTACAATGGTTGGCGGACACACTGCTACAAGCTGAGGAAGATGGAGAAAAGGTTCACATTCTTGGTCACATCCCTTCAGATCGTTGTATGAGGACTTGGAGCAGAGAATTTCACAGGATCATTGACAGGTTCATATTCTTACGAGTTATAAACACAATATGCACTATATAACCAACATAATTAAATAATATTTTTAACTTGTTTTTATCTTTTTATTCTTAACACACTTGTTCGGGTACAACAAGTGAAGCATTAGCAATTTTCTGTCATCAGTCATTACATCACCCTTTTTATATCCACTTATAACCTCACATCATTCTCTAATGAAATTGCTGATACACACAGAAAGAAGTATTAAATTTCAAGTCGCACTACAGCAGTTTCTAAACACAGACATTGATTTTCAGGATTTCCGTCTTCTGGGTTGTTGCGCTGTGTAGTCTGGTCGATATTAGGTTAATATCGACCAGACCAGACTACACAGCGCAACAACCCAGAAGACGGAAATCTTCATACTCACCGCTGTGAGAACCTCAAGTCTTACATTGATTTTCAGATTTGAAAATACAGTAACGGCCATATTCAACGGACACTCTCATGGTGATCACTTTAACATCTATTATTCCACTGATGAACCAACTCATGCTATTGGAGTTGCATTCAATGGTGGAAGCCTCGTCCCAAACTCTAACACTAATTACAAGACCTACAGCGTGGATTCAACAACTTTCGTAAGTACATGCAAAATTAAAAGTCAAATTTCTTTCTGCCTAAACACATCATATGGGGGTATAGGGGAGGGGGTGGTAAAGTTCCAAATTCCTTAGCACCACTGGATAGGAGGATGCGTCAGACATGGATGTGACTTCAAGGACAAAGAAACCTCCAAAGAGGAGGTTGTGAAGACCCACAACTGGGTTGTAGAGCCAAGGAACAACAACAACAACAACAACAACAACAACTACTTCATTGATTGAACTATATAGCCACTACACACAGACATACGAAAACTGCTTTGTTTGAAGGAAAGTTCTGTAAGGAGCATACTGTGATCATGATATCAATGAGGACATGAACAATTAGTAAAGTATAAACACAAAAGTGTTCTCTCCACTGCACCCACAGACATCTCAGGCATCTCTTTCCTTCAAGTTGACTCATAACGCGTTCTTGAAATATATATTGCTTTTATTACTGATAGTTTTCCGAAATGTTGAGACCGTCTTACTTTAAAATCTCTTATGTGTGCTGATCAATATAACAAAGTTAGTACTGCCATTGTTTTATAACATTTAAGCAGACTATCCTCCTGTACTTTCCCAAGAAGTGTTTTAATTTTTGTTCCACATATATTTTGAAACCTGTATAATTACGCATTAACAGGAACGTCATTACTGTAGACTACACTATAATATAAATAATTGAAATTCATTATCTACTCAGTTATTATTTCACTGATTAACCTTGTGGGCTCTTGTAAACTTGGTAATGAACATTCAAGTGCCTTTAAGGGCAGGAAATTTCCAGGATGGCTGAGCAACTATCACCTTCTCAAGACAGCCTCTGCCTCATGGACTTATTTTATTAAACTTCATTGGGAATTACTTGCAGAATGTTCTGAACAGTGAATCTTGGACCTTCGATATGGTCGAAGCTAACAAATATCCCTATGTGAACCCAAACTGGAATCAACTATATTCATTCCAAGATGTGTTTGGAGTGGAGTCTCAGACTGCTACAGAAATGGAAAAACTGACCCATAAATTGGCTGTTAACAGAAGCCTTCTACACAAATACTCAAGGTAACCGCACTTAGTTTCCTTCATTTTACAAATTAATAAAGCTGTCCAACACCTCAACCACGGCATCATCAGCTTGCATTTTGGTATTTGTCTGGGTCCCCTAAAATCCTCATAGTCACTGTCTTATTAATATTCCTTTGTAACAAGTTCAATGATTTAACGTCTCTTCAATTTCATCTCATCTCTCCTGTAAATTAATGAATCCTCTGCAAATATTACTATTTTATTGTCTGCTCCCCTGTTTTCTCCTCAAACTTTATAAACAATTTAATTTAACATTAAAATCTACCTCAGTAAACTTATGCTGATTATTAAGATATTTAATTACCCTGATTCAACTATGTAGGTTATATGGTGTTGAAGGAAGTGCCATAATATATTAATAATTATTGAGGTGAAGCTAACGTACAGTGTTGAAGCATGATTAAATTGCTACAGTTCTCTCTTATGTTCTCCAGGTTTACCAGCAGAGGTAGTGGATGTGCTGAAAATGATAACTGGTGTCTGAGAAACAAACTCTGTTCTACAACAACGTCCCTAACAGGAGAAATGACTCAATGCCATATACTGGAAGCAGAATTTGATGCTGCTAATTGAGGCGGCAACATTCATATTTGAAGTCATCAACAAATTCCAGTTGCATGATAACGTATCCCAAATATCACTTAGAAATTAGCATAATGGAGATAACCAGGTTCCTGTTTCAAGATAAGCTTTAAGTTACTTATTTCTAAAAAATTGTTCTTCCTTGTGGAACTATCACGGTAAGCAAGCTTTACATAAAAATAAACAAATCTAACACTGAAAAATATTATAATTATCGATAAAATTCATCCTTATTCACGTCACATTCATTACGTTAACCAGAAATTGATAGTTAAACAGTTTAAGAAGTAAAGTTACAAGAAATCTTCTAATTAAATTGATCATGAAGATGTCCGTCTTCTGGGTTATTGCGCTGTGTAGTCTGGTCGATGTTAACCAATCGCCCTGATGACGGAGGCAGTATGACCTCTGAAACGTTGGTTAACATCGACCAGACTACACAGCGCAATAACCCAGAAGACGGACATCTTCATACTCACCGCTGTGAGAACCTCAAGTCTTACATAAATTAATCATATTTACAGTTTAGATGGGATAATCAACTATTCCATCAGTACAAGGTTGCAAATAGTTTAAGAATAGCCAATAGTGTGGTGCAAAATCACAAAAATGCTGTTTACATCTGCGACATCTGGCCCCACTATATGTTGTTTCATCACCCCTCCACCTCCCACTTTTACTTCCTACCTAGGCACAGTACACGTGACTGGTGCACGCTTCAGCCGCAAATTCTGCTGAAAACTTATAATAAACCAAATGTACCCACAAATATATTAACATTTTCTGGCATATAAAATACTGTAAGAACATTGTTCATAAAATGGTAACAACAGAAAAATAAAACAATAGTAATTTAAATATATCATATTTTTATTCCTTAATTTCTGCAACAGCTGGAGTTCGTGATATAAGTGTGGGTGCGGAGTATATGGTACCTGTCCGGTCAAGTGCTCACATCATCATCACACATGACGACATCATTACGGAGTTGAAAAAAGTTAAGTTTCCGGGCAACTTCAATCGAATACAATAGCAACACTCACCTGCCCTTTCCTTCATCACTGCCAATTTCCTTTCCTCCAATTTGGTCTTACATCCTTAAAGTCCGTTCCAAACCCATGTACCAACGAGCTTTACGAACATCTTATTAATAAATTGTGAAGCACGTCTAAACAAACACTACTCGTCCCAACACCAAATTACCAAATGAGTGAGGTTATGACTTCATCTACTGTATATCAGTGGCGTGTGGTATTACTTTCGGTAGGGGAAGCAGCGGTATCTAATAAACATAAACTGACAGCAATCAACTCACCTAAATTTATTCTCCTGTCCTTAGCAGCAACATACTAGAAGACAGCCACCTTCCTCTCCGTCCTTATCGTTGGTTTGACGCAGAGACAATTCCTGAGCATCTTTCCACAGTATCCACGCGATAGCCTTGTTGTTGGTGGGCACGTGAGAGGGGCATGGGGTTTTGCCTTCCTGGATCCTCTTGGTTCAGCGAAAGTCAACGATACTTCCCATCAGCTGGAGACGCAGTTTCTTCACTGGTGTCTCACGAGACATGTCAACGAGCAAGAGGAATAATACAGAATGTTCAACAATTTGCTCTTCACACTTTAAAATTAAAAATGTAATGAAAATCTGTTGGCTGTTGGCCCTGTCACTTATTACCCCCAAAACCAGACCCCAAAATAATCACTTCACTTGATGCTCACCTCACAGTGATAGTTTGTGTTTGAGAAAGCAAGCCTGGCAGATGCTCCCTCGACCAGATGTCAAGTTTCTTCATGATGGCAGGACAAGATTTCCAGGTTGATTCTTGCTCAGCTCGCACTCAACATCGTTCAACTCTTGGAATGGAGTTTCTTCCATAATGATAACCAAACCAAGGCAAATAAGAGAACCGATCATGTAACTGTTTATCAGTTCTCAACGAAATTTCAAGGCATGGGGGGACACCATCTGCATGCCACCTGCTCTCACTATTATCTTTTGTGGTGGATAACATAGGAACAAATTCAGATATCCACAATATAAGAACAAGATACAGATACAACCTTCATGTGCCAAATTCTAACCTCAGTAAATGTTAAAACAGAGTTTACTATAATGGAATTAAGTTATTCAATAATCTTCCACCTACTATCAAAAGTTTAAATCAAGATATAAAAATGTTTCAGCCAGTGTGAAGAGTATCTCCTATCTCATTCCTCCTACTCAGTAGAAGAATTTATAAATACATGTAATAATGGTGATAGTTTCTCATCAAAATTATTTTGCTGTAATACTGTAGTTCCAAAAATCTGTACATAGCTGCTATAACTATGTATTTATATTTGTACTAGAAACAAGTATTGTATTTGTGCTATGACCTGTTTCACATCCTTGGCTTAGGCCTATTAAGGATCTAAGGAATGTAAATCTATTCTATTCTCTCAGACAATATCTGCTAGGTTAGGTTAGCCCAAGAATGGTAAGAAAAACCTCCATTATGACAATTTCTATGAATATTTACCCATTCCAACTGCACAGACAAATAATACAAAACAGTTTGCTTTAAACTTAAATGGAAATGCTATTTCGAGATAACTGCCAATGACTGTAACTGGTTGTTGCCAAAAAATTACAAACAAATCAAACAGCAAGTAGTTTATTCTAGCGTTCTCTTGCTGCAAGTAAAACACGACATTTTGGTGCCCCATACCACGTTGTACGACACAAATGCCCACTCAACTTATCCAACCCGTCTCTTTCCTGAAAAATCTAATACAGGTTAGAGCTCCAATTTGTACAATATCTCTTCTTCTTTCTAGAGCTACACACTTACTGAAATTTTATTGTAAAATCTTCCGATTATAATACACGTGTAGGTAGCATGTCACTTTCCTCTTCCTTGCAATATCTTATATAAATACATTCTTCAAAATTATGAATACCATTATAAATAACCAGAATTCGATATTTTTCAATACATTCATTAAAATCTTTGAGAATATTACCGTTACTCAAACATCGAGCAAAAACTCACAAAATGCCTACCACGTCATTCTATTTTTTTTTGTCGGTTTGAAGTGCAGATCCCCGTGCCATCTGCATCAAAAAAAAAACGTGACGGTCGTTTTTTCAATGTCGATAATATTCTTTCGGTAGAAACCGTGGCATGAATCATGTCAAATAATAAAACTTGTCTTTTCTTTCAGACATCCTGGCAGCACAGAATGTGGTTTGTTTTCCTCCAAGCTTATGTAGCCTGACCCACAGATGACCATACTTAACCTCACCAAAACCCATCAAAGCAAAGAAGAAGAAAAAGAGCAAAGTTTCCATGGTCCTTAACAATCACCAAGCCATGAGGTAGTGGAGGTATGGCTCCATGCATTTTATTCTAGGCACTAGATGATAAAGAACCAATTTGAAAATGATACGGTAGTAAAATTGTCCCATATTCCATTTTAACACACATCAATAATAATAATAATAATAATAATTCAATTAATTTATTTACGTGTTTGCCAACAGCAAGAAACAAATAATCCACCTAGGGAACACTAATATAATTGTAAAACGTTAAATATAAAAAATATAACCAAGCTAGATCTACCAAGACACCTATCTAGATCTTTTCCCTTATTGAGAACGTGCCCTCAAGGGAGACAATGTTTATGCAAAATACTTCCAAAGATTTACATACGTCATTTGCAGCGATGACGCACCTGACTGAAGGACTATGTCTTAGTGCACTGCTCACACTAAAAGTATAAAATTCTCTTATTTGCCTCGCCGGCACACGTAATCCAACAGCGTCCATAATGGAATTGCAATTTATTTTGCCCTTAAAGACATTTAACAAGAAATAACGCATCGAGATGTCGTCGTCTGGAATAAAGTGATCTAAAATTTAAAGTAGATAAAATCAATTCATATTTGCGTGGGATATTAAACTAAAAAAATCGGTAATTGCACAAACTGGCAAATTTTCTTTGAATATTTTCCAATTTATTAGAATCTGTTTGTGTAAGATTATTCCAAACGACCGAGGCATACTCAAGCTTTGACCTAATTAAAGCATTATATAAAACAACAAGGCTGTCTAGAGAGGAAAAATTATAAGTAATAAAACGAATAAGCCCTAAGGTCCTTAGTGCCTGGGAATGAACACAATTTACATGACAGTGAAAATACAGTTTACTGTCTAACAAAACACCAAGATCATTTATACAATTAGTACGCAAGATTAAAAAGTCACTAACAATGTAATTAAAATGGATAATAATAATTTATTTACATTCCATGGATCCATAAGAGAGTCAGATGACAATAGGACGTGGAAAAAGTCATAATAAAAATACAATACATATTATAAAGTACAATTCATACTATTATATAAATTTCACATAATACAAAACAAAGTATTCACCTAAAGAAATGATAAGCTACAAATAGATTACCCATTACACATAAGAAAAATTTATCACTTATTTGTAAACAACATAAATTCATTGACAGAGTAAAAGGAGTGTGTAATTAAGTATCTTTTTAATGCTATTCCTAGGGTGCAAGAAAAGTTCTTCAAGCTCCAACTTCCCACTTATTGGGCGTGGTAACCCATGTTGCAAGAACATAAATGAATAAAGGCTTGCTCGCATTTCGCCTAACTCCATCCCTCCAAGATTTCGTCACTGTCCCTTGGGAACGGGATAGATGTCTTGTCCTCTTCCATAGGAAGTATCAGAGCAAACGGGACCTCAGTGTGGGGGTGGATCTTAGCCGCACTCTTGACTTGTACGTTGCCAGGGAAAGGTCTCGCGGAGGCGTCCACTCGACATCAGTCGACCCGCCGCCAAGGGAACCACCCTCGACTCGCACCACTCTTCAATTACAATTAAAAATTTCTAATACTACAATAAGGATAAATATATATAAACTTGTACAACATGTACAGATTAAAATTGTACGACAAGTACAAACACCAAAACAAATTAAGGTGTATAACTTAATACTAGGTTAACAAAGTTAACAGAATTTTAACAATAGCGGTGTAAAGGACCGCATAAAACAATTTAAAATCAGGTAACAAAATAAAATAAAGGACACAAGGTGTATAGGGCTAATTAATATTAGAATTATATATTCGCCAAAGTAACATTCAATATTAATATGAAGAGTGGGCTCTGCCAAACGAGGGCCGAACTCCAGACCCTCATCTACTACATAGCTGGGGAACCTACACTGGTTAGGAGAGGTTCCATCCCCCAGGTATGAGCAGGTAGCCTGCCCATAGAGCTAGAGGATTTGACGATTATAATCCATGCGTGATACAATTCAACGGAGCTTCTAAGCGCCATCAGGGAAATGGTCTTCTGATGGCGCCTTACTATACCCCAACTTATCAAGACATTTTATAGTATCAGCGGGCATAGCTCCTCTAGTCCCAAAAATGGGCAGGGCTTCAGCAGACGGGGCAGCCCGCTCCCGCTGCATAGCCGACAGAAGAATACCATATTTTATTTCCTTTTCTAGTTTAGCAACTTTTAGGTAATCCCCATCGACCACAAAAACCCCAGCCTGGTTCTTCATAACTAGATCGGGTTTGAGTTTCCCCTTGTCGCTTGGGAGTTCAGGTTCCTTTGTAACTTCCGCGGCTTTATCGTTTTCCATTGCTTTGTCCATAATGAGATCATGTACCTCATTATGGTGACGGATCGTAAGCGCCTTAGTAAACGTGCATTGGCCCAAAATATGTGCAAGTGTCTCCTTGGCCGCAACACTTTTATGGCAGTTCAGATCTGCCTGAGGTACGGCACGGTTGAGGCTGGTCCTGTTTCCTGTTGTGTTTGTACGTAACTGCAGGGCTGTTATGAACCGACATGGTTTTAACAGCGTGGGGTCATACAGGAATGAATTCCCCAGTTTATCTCCAGCAAGGCTGTCAACCGCCTGTCCTTGACCCATCTGTGCCGACCATCTCTTCAGCTCCTCCTTCTGCATACAAGTTTTAAATTGTCGAAGATCTGCCGCAGTATATGGAAATGGCAATCTTGCGGATGTTGCCAGCCACTTGAGACGTGCAGTCGTGCTGGCACTTTCAAGGAGGGCATGAATAGCTGGATCATTGGACTGCATGAACCTGAGCCTGGCACCAAGACTCAATCTAGTCACAAGGTGTTCCAGCTTTGGAAATCCTAGTAGTAGTATATGAAATTAAGCGACAAAAGACGTGATCAACATACAACCCACATAAAGTATAAGCAAGTCAGGAGAAAGGAGCAATTGAATGACTGTAGAGAGGCAGCGACTGCAATTTTAATTCCTGTTCCTCCACAAGAGGGTGAGGGAGGGAGGGAGGCACCCTTAGAAAAGGAGGGAATCATAGTAGGTACACAGTCAGGATGAGAGATGCGACTTCAAAATTACTTACATCAACAAAGCTGGATAACACCAAAAACTACTGTTCCAGTAAGAATGTCAGTGCAGTGGAATGCCACGCAGCTGTTCCTCAGTGAGGACACCAAAAGGTTCCACCAACATCACTGTGAAGAGCTGCACTCTGTTATTTGGCATGATATTCTAATATTGTGTTCCTGTAAAAAAAATATTCACCATAGTAAGTGATGGTAATTCTCACGTCAGTTACACATTACCAAGTAGAAATAAAAATGTTTCCTGTTTATAATCCCCATTATGTACTGTAATATCACTCTGAATTAAACTTATACTAAAAGTTTGTCTGGCTGTCTTTTGTGTCTTCTAAGTGAAAAATCATAAACATGTTCAATACAATGAAGCTAACTACAGTAAGAAAGCACTATAAATCACAGGACATCTTTATGTAAATTCTTCAATTCCCCATTGTGCTCTTCAGGCAAATATTTGAACCTAAGTAATTGTCTAAAAAGTGCACAAAACCAATTTTTTTTAAAAAATATTTGCGAAAAAATATTTGAATTTGAAATTTCTCAAATTTTTTTTTTGGTTTTGTGCGCTTTTTGGACAATTTTCAGCACAATCCGCTGTCTGTATGAACCGGTCTCTGCGAAGACCAGGTCCGTCAGAGACGGAGTCCGGCAAACCTAACAAGACACAGACTGAGTTCGGCAATGACCAGAGTGTGGCAGAGACCAGACCAGGCATGGAAAGTTTTGAAAAAAATTCTCTAATTTTTCAAAATTTCCGAAAAATCAAAAAAATTCTGGAAATTTAATCAAGCAGCATAGCCCCTAATAGTAGTCACAAGTGTCACGCTTTGGTATACCCATTCATTTTAGAGCTGAAAGAACATCTCACAAAAGTGTGTCTTGGGATATAAGTCGCATGTTAAGGACATTTTAACTATAGGTGGTTACTAGTTATATAGTCATTTTATTTTTACCAGGCAGTATAAATGTCATTTGTTCCCCGAGCGTTTTCTTGAATTTGAACGTGATGGAGACTTACTGCTTGACATGTGTACTCCTTCTTTTGTAATCAATCCTAGAATTGGTTGACAGCAGCTCTTGAGCTGCTGATACTTGGGAAATCCTGAGGATCTTTAATGCGGTGGATTCCCCTTGCCTTCCGCGTCCTATGCCGTTGATCCATCTGGTTCATCCGCCTTTAGGGGTGCTTTCTCACCCCAAGGGCATGAGGGTGCCCTGAACCTCCACCCCCTCATCCACCCTCCGAAGAGGCTGTTGGCACTTGGTAGATGGGGTGGTCACTCAGGGTCTGTGGACGCAGTTTAACGTCATACCCAGGACGAACGTATACTAAGGATCACATTTTATCAATATAGCTACTATTATGAATGAAACTTAACTAATTCAGGTCATAAGCACCTTATGGTATTTGGTGAATAAAAAAAAAGAACTTTTAGCAATAGCTGTCAATGTCATGGATTACAGTCACTTAAACTTGTAACAAATTTATGTTGAATAGATATTCAACTCTTTTTTATATAAAACTGAAGCTGTATCTGTGCAATTTATTACAAGTACAAGGATAATTGTTTTCTGGGTTGTAGCGCTGTGTAGTCTGGTAGAAGTTTACCAACATTTCAGAGGTCGCTGGCGAACTTCTACCAGACTGCACAGCGCTACAACCCAGAAGACAGCTATCTTCATATTCGTGACTATGAGAGCCTCAAATCCTGCTTCTGATTTTGAAATTACGTAAAAAACAGATGGGGTCGCAACCCAGAAGACCAGAACCGACATTTAAACTACCATGAATAAGAACCTTGAATCTAAAACAGTTTATATTAAATTTGTACATATCATCTGCAGTTCATATTCCCTAGTATACGTGATTGGTTATAAAGGTAGATGACATATAAAAAAATTATTTATTTTCTGTATAATTAATCCACTTTCAATATCAGTACATCATAAGATAAACTTGAAAAGTTCCACACAACATAAAAATTCTTTGTAGATTATCCATTTTTAGTTTATCTTCTGTACTTAGACAAAATTTAGATTCAAACACTTCTTATACAATATTGAACATGTACACAAGATTTAACACATTTAACATTCAGTACAATTACCATATCAGATAACATGGTATACAATGCGGAGTGTTCGTTTGTCTGGATGCCGGTGATTAAGGCTGGGCGCAAACGGAGCCACTAGTGGCTAAACACGACCACTAGCGGGATAAACAGTGGTCGGAGGCAGCCACAAGGAGACACGGCCACTACCGCAGCGAGTGGCCCGGTCGGGCCACTACGAACGCCGTGTCTGCGCTGAGTCTATTAAAACTCCATACAAAATACAGTCCGCAGCTTGTGGCGGCCACAAGTGGCTGTGGCTAGTGGCTCCGTTTGCGTCCGGCCTAAGGTAATGTAGCACCACGACAACAAAACAAACAATTTCCTAATAAAATGTAACTCGCTGTGTTCCTATGTACAACAGATGTGGAATGTTTCGGTGCAAGTCCATTTTATTCATTAAGCTACCTAGTTTATGATACAAAAATAATCATCAATATTCAGGCACACAGATACAATGTACATGTGGTTCAAAAACACCTTGAACTCATTACGCGTTCAGATATGCTCACGGAATCATTTTCAGTACATACTTCTCATTTTGTGGTATGTATTCCTTTTTGTCGTTCACATATCTTGGGTTATAGTGAAATTTCATTCTCAGTGACTGCAAGAAAAATTAACAAATACCAGATAATTTAAAAATATGTCTTAAATACATTCACATTTAAAGATGAGTAATGGTAGTTTTCAAACAAGTTTATATCATACCTCTCTTGAAATTATCTCTGCAAAATTGTACGTGTTTATAAATGTAATAACTTGATTTTATTTCCTATGGGGAGGAAATACTTTGTATTTTATGGTAAACAGTACAACTTCACATTAACACAACTAGAAACCTAAGTAGAAGTATAAAACAAAGTGTAACGAAACAAAAATATTCCTTTCCACTACAATGTATCATAAATACATGTCCTTTGAAAACACTTTTTAAATCACAGAATGTTGAGTAACATAAATTTGTTTTTCTTTACGGCTGCGTGACAAGACATTTCATTTGATGTATCCATTTATGGACCTGCAGAGGCAGAATGCCAGAATGATTCCCAACAGCTGGACGAGACCTATTCCAATTCCTATTCCAATCGCAATGTTGATGTTCTCCATGATCAGTTGAACGAATGTGTCGTAGCAGCCCTGGAAAACACCGAGATGATTTACAAGTCGTCTTTATATTTTATTTTGAAGGGCAATGATTACAGTCTTCTGTCAACACTGCAGGAGGTTGACTGTCTTCTGGGTTGTAGCGCCTGTGTAGTCTGTTACAAGTTTACCAATGTTCCAGAGGTCCTCGCTGCCTCCGTCATCAAGGCGATGGAGGCCAACCCAGAAAACAGCCGTCTTTGTACACACCGCTCCGAAAACCTAAATCCTACTAAAAAAAATTAGATATAGAGATTCGCTTAGGTGAATCTGTGACAGCAAGAACAGTTCTCTATCTGTAAGTACTGCATCAGCACAACTGAAGTTTGAAGATGTTCATATCGTGGAAAATAAAGCGCCAGAACTATATAATACATCATTCCTGTATATGCGTGTCTGCATTTACAAATCAGCATTATCTATTATTTATAATTAACAAATTTTATATGAATTTCATATCACGTATGGGAAACGTCAAATATATTACTAACCTTCAAAACCCCCTTCCTTTTGTATGTCATAATACGGTTTTTAAGAACAGCACATAAATACTTTTCAAAATAAATACTTAAAGTTGTAATCAGTATACCAGACTAATTTTATTTTGCACATTTAATTTAGCAAAGTATCAATTCCATGAATGTGTGGGATTTGGAAAAGACCAGTAAGCCGTACAAGGTACGTGTCAAATAAAAAAGATTTTTGTATAACGCTACAACTGTGCAAAATTTACATTCCTCAAACTGTACGAAGACACAGTAGCAGTAGCTGGGGGGAAAAAAATTAGTTCAGCAATTAAAAGTATTCAGAGTTTCAATTTGTATAAAATAACTCACAAATCACAGAAATAGGAAATGTTATCACAGTTACAGAACGGCGTCTACAATTGTACAGCAACATGCATTAAAAAATTTTCCACACTCAAATAAGAAGAATAAAGCACAAGTAAAATCTCAAAAATGCATTTGGAACATGTGTACTCCAATCTCGGCTGTACTGCAGTACACTTTTCTGCTCTTAGGATTGTGTGTTACTAGTTAGTGCTGAAACAGAAGAACATCAGCACACTACCCCTGGGTTAACTAACTAGATGGCTTACCGAACCCGAAGGTTCATCACCGACTTAACCAAAGCCCTGTCCTGGGCCAACAAAATCCAGTCTCCTTCAACTCCTATCTCCCATAGATCCCGCCTGAGATTATCATCCCATCTACGTCTAGGTCTCCCCAGAGGTCTCTTCCCCTCAGGCTTCCCAAATAGTGGACTAACTAACTAACTAGATGGCTTACCGAACCCGAAGGTTCATCACCGAATTAACCAAAGCCCTCCACCGGACCCTGTCCTGGGCCAACAAAATCCAGTCTCCTTCGACTCCTATCTCCCATAGATCCCGCCTGAGATTATCCTCTCATCTACGTCTAGGTCTCTCCAGAGGTCTCTTCCCCTCAGGCTTCCCGGTGCACACCTCTTGTCCCATCCATGCGTGCTACATGCCCCGTCCATCTCATTCTTCTCGACTTAATCACCCTGACAATATTGGGGGAGGAGTACAGATTCTTAAGCTCATCTGGGTTAAAAAAGTTTTTCTAAATACACATTGTAACTGAGAAAAGGCTAATTCCGGTCATTCACAAACGGATCTATCATATAATCGTTGCTTAGATCTTCATAATATTTTCCCAGTCTAAGAATAGGGGATTTAAAACCCTGGACTACATCGCTGCTAGCCAGACTTTAACTCTGGGATCAATGATCTAGCGGTCATTTCATGGGAAACGACCGTAAGCCGTGACACCTGTCAGTAAAGGTGAAATGTTTTGTACGCTCACCTTTTTCCAGTAGGAATTGATGTCTGTTGGAACATCTGGACACATTTCAGACATGGGTTTAAACTTGGCTACATCGCCTTCTAAAACACAGCAAGCGTCTGGGACCTTCTTGCCTCCCTCGATCCATTTCTTCGACTCACTGAAGTCTTCATAGCTGTCAACGCCACAACATTTCATCTGGGGGAAAAGAGAAGTTCAATGTGAGAAAGCAGATTATTTACCAAAGAGCTTCCCCACCAAAATTCCAAATGGAGTTCGTGATGGCATCCTCGATTACATTCTGCTAACACTAGGTGACCTGCGTAAACAATAATGTTTGTTACATATCCTAATTTTTCCACGTCATGTTTTTGTTAGAACACTTTTTCTTTTCAAACTGTTGTAACAGTATCACAAACTTATTTTTATTTGCCTCTGCGGATTCAGTATTTTCCACGCAGCATTCAAAAATAAATATCTGTAAATCAATTCCGATAGTTTTTTCACAGGAAACCTTCACACGTTAATTTCGATTCAGTTTAATTTGATGTATCTGAAAATGCACTGGTTGGACCGAATGTTTCGAATTAAAAACACAGCCTGATCTTGGCATGAGAGTGCCCAGCGATGCGAGGACTTGCAGTTTGCGGTACGTACGTTAGCCATAATATAGTCCCACATGAGGGTAACAGCATCCTTTTCTTTGGCAGCGTAGTATTTACTAATGGTGGATTTCAAGAAAACTCGAGTCTCTTTCTCAGCCTGAAACAAACAACCGAAGAAAACAAAATATTTTAGAATCAATACATACTTTCAAACTTTTTTTTTTACCAGCAATTATAGTATTACGCTGTTCCTGAATTCACCGATCACGGCCACATACACAAATATCATCCTAACTCCTTAAATGCTTCAAATATTATGTAACTTACTGATTTGATAAAATTTATTTTAAAATACATTTATTACTCAATGTATAAATATATGGCAGAATATTTTTTTCAGTGTTAGAGAACTCGCATGCTTTCATACATGAAAGTTGATACAATCAATTGAATAATACATTAATTTCACTTCTTTGATCTTTTTATAAATAGGGTCGAAGAGAAGTTACCGCACAGTCGGCGTAGCACCCGGTCTTATGTGACTTGTCCACAACTTCGTACTTGCCCTGTGTCTTGTTAAAACACACAAGAAAACTATTCTGAAGGACAGAATCTGTGACCTGCTGTTCAAACACGGTATGAAATGCCAGACGTTAGTTAGCAAAGTCTCGTATCATGAATTACCATCATACATACATCTATACGTCTATACGTAAAATGTACGACAGAAAACATTACCTCACTTCTATAGGCTGCAGCCAAACCTCCAGCAGTAATTTCCATCAGCAGAATTATAAGAAGAAATACTCCATACTGCAAATTAAAAAAAAAAATACTACAATATTTTCAGACACAAACTGTTTGAAACAAAATTCACAAACACGATCGCTTGTTTGATTAACACATCAGGTTTATAGAAACAAGCTTGGAAAATGTATTCCATGCCAGAATACACATAATATCCCCTTGTGTTCTTTGCGATGTGCAATTAGAGGTAATATAAGTCTGCCTTGTTTGATAATTACCACCATCGTCACCAGATTTCAGTATCTCAGTATCCACCTCAAGAATATCCTCATCCATAATTTTGTTTGGGTCCGCGGTGGCCGCGCGGTCTGAGGCGTGGGCCTCGTGCCTGGTCACTGGGACCGTGGGTTCGAATCCCACTCAAGCCATGGATGTTTTTCTGTGTTGTGCTGTCCTGTGTACAGGTAGAGGCCTTGCGACGGGCCGATCCCTCGTCCAAGGAGTCCTACCAAAATGTCTATAGATCAAAACCAACTAAAAAAGTTGGGACCCGCAGTGCTCAGGCACTTGAAGATTGGGTCATTCCCAGTATCCCAGTATAATTTTGTTATCATTACTCATAGGCTATTCAAAAGTATGATTCCAAGGTCACGCAGAACGACACAACATCCACATCACATTTCATCAAAATCTGTCCGGTGGTTCTCGAGTAGACTGGACCAGACAGATGGATAGACCCTCACGACCAGCCCATAATGCATTCTCACTATGCACTTTAGGCAAATGCATAATGTTTTGTTGCAAAGTGACATGACATCAGGGACCACACATGAAAAATTGTCCTTTTATTCTGACAAATAAGTTTTAAAATCTGAAACAGACTTCGTGTTTCATATGCAAATAATAAAATTCTTAGCAACAGCACACTATTTGACAGAACAAAGCCAGGAGTCAAACAAGTACAATCACAAAATGTTCATTTTGCACGTACGCTATCCAGTTACTGTTCTCGTGTTCAAAAATATGGCAAAACACAGAAGGTTTACATAATATGAAATTTATTTTTTTTCCATCTGTTACGTGCGAAAACCATTCACACTGGAATGCGTTAATGCAAAGGCAAGGCCGATGTCATTCTAAAACGTTCTGTACAAGAGACGACAGTGAAAAGGTGAGATATAATTTCACAGACGTGTATTTCTTTGCTTGCATCTTTGGTTTCGGAGAGCCGTATGAATTCAGTCAATGAAATGTCAGATGTATCATGAAATGTCACACATATATTTTATATGAACAGAAACATTACATTACCTGAGCATGAAAACTTACAGTGCAGTGGACGACAAACAGAAACATGAGGACAAAAGTGTACCAAAGCCGTGGCCCAAACTTTCTAAGTGCCCAGATATAAAAAAATAAGCATACAAACAAACTGTTTACACAATAAATGACACTAGTGCCAAATGCCTTTCGACCTCAAGAGGTCATCATCAGTGGCAAGAAAGGGGAAATTAATTCATATAATCTCAACAAAAAATATACAGTTTTTAAACAGATTATGAAGTTAATAGCGAGTTCTTTATTTATTTCATTTATTGCGTAAACAGTTTGTATGCTTATTTTTATATTCTAATACACTACACAGTAGGCAAAGTTTTAAGATAAAGTGCCCGGATGTTTCACATATTAATTTTTGATGAATATCTAAGTATCGAGACGTCTTTATGGCCAGTGTCGATCGTGGTAGTGGTGTGAGTGGTTGTAGAGGTGGTGGATGGTGGCTGTGCATGGAGGTGGTGCTGTTGGTGGTGTTGTTGGTGCGTGGTGGTGTTTGGTTCTGGTGGCTGTTGGCAGTGCTGCATGGTTGGTGGTGTTGGTGGTGTTGTTGGTGCGTGTTGGTGTGTCATGGAAGTTGGGGTGTTACAGGTGGTGGATTTTTATGGGTGCTGATTGAGTTCGTTGTGACCGGTGGACATGGTGACAGTGAGTTACAAAACGAAGCATAAAATAAATACGCAAAAGAAATAATATCAAATTTTACCTTATTTTCAAAATACGTACTCAAGTGATTACAGCAATACTTACACATGTCAGCAAGCATCTTGACTCGCGTAGTGCTCCACAGTAACCAAGAAAACTAACCAAAAACATGAATGCCCCAGCTGCAATTAGAATGTATGCAGCTTGTTCTATGACAGTTGGCTGTGTGATCTGCTGGAACTAGATAATAAATAATATACTGAACATCATCAGAAAATGAAGACTATAAATCATAAAAAACAATAAAAATCAGTAATTAAGTGATAAGTTTAAACTACATAACACCCGTTGATGGCTAAATTATAGCCGAAACTAGTCGTGTAAGTTCCTATTGTAATCGAGTACTCGATGGGGAACGTTAAATGATGTTTTAATCTTTTAACATTATTATATTTGTGATTGACGGCAAAAATTTTTAATATATATTTTAATACTTATGAATCACAATATGACGCATTTACAATATCTTATAATATACTTTGTTACAAGCCAATTAATTCCAAAACAGACGATTAACACACAGTCAAATTCCTTATTTAAGATTTCTCGTTGGATAGTTGTGTTTTAAACACGTACGTGATTAACTCTTAAACGTACAGATTTTAACACATTCTTTGTGGATAATGTGGACTTCTGGCTTGTAATGCCATGCGATCTTGTAAGCGGTTAGTGACATTTCAGAGGAATGATCCTTGGGCCTTCTACCCTAAAGAGCGGGCGAAGTAATGAACCATTTTTTCCATAACAGACGGGGAATTTCTCGATCAGCTTCTCAAGAAAGACTTCTTCTCAAAGTATATTTGGTTACTAAATTTCAAACACATCCTGCCCATCTTAAGTAGAATTAAAACGTAAATGTACCATGAATTAATGCCCTTATACACATAGTTCGTCTTGAACCTTGTACTTTAATCCTGTAACTAGTATGATTTAGAGCAGAAAATCCATATTAGAATTATGCGCGCCTGTTCATTGGATCAGAGTTCTCTTTACAAGTTCCCAAAACAAAAGAACTCTCTATACGTTGCCCAGTACCAGCCACCGGATGTGTTTCGTCAACTGTAACCAATGTATTACCCGGCCTTTATCATTCTGCCAAAGCCAAACACTTCATTAACTTCCACAAAGCTCGCTATTAATAGACGTGTGCACTTCAAAAGAGTATTATGAACGCCAGAGAGAGTAATAGGCTTATTTAATCGACTCTTCATTAAAATATATTATTCGTGTCTCCAATGGTACAGTCAGAATTTCGTATTTTCGTTCTTGCAATAATTTGTTTCCAGGCAATGAACCCAAAATCAGACGTAGACAATGAATGGGTTGATCTATTGAAAGTTAAACTTCAAAAGACGCAATAAGTGCTGTTTCTTACACTACTATTAGAAGTTCAAACAGTCATCGTCCTGATGATGGAGGCAGAAAGTACATCAGTAAACTTCTACCACACTACACATCATAAGAACCTAGGAGACAGCCATCTTATTTTGGTGACTGATTCAGTTTACTTATTTGTAATCACTTAAATAATTTATTTAGTTTTTCAGAAAAATGTTAGACGCAGTTAACTTTCGTATCATTTTCTCTGGAGACTTCAATGCCCCTGGTTTTAATTGGGATTGTGTTTTGCCATCCACCAACTGCAATTATTATGCCAAAGTGAACAGACAGGTGACCTCATCAAATCGTTTTCTCGGCTTAAGTCATTGTAATTACTTTGATAAATGCGTCAACTTACTATTTTATTATTTATTTAGTGTTCTGTCTGAAGACAGGTCCATATGAACAGGATCCTTCCATCCTTTTCTAGGACTGGGACCTGTTCATATACGTTCTTGGCAGATGATCCAGAAGTGGTTTGCCATTGCCTTCTTCTGTGTGTGAATGGAGTAATTGTTGGGATGCCACGGAG